AGGATTAAGAAAAAGAAATTAACTAATGTGTTGGCTGTCTCCACAGATCAATCAGCAGTGGAGAATAAATCATTCTGAAATTATAAAGTAAATTCATGGGGATGGGGTTTGCCTGATAAGAAGTGGATCTGCACACCTTTCCACAAACACGGCTGTCATGCACAGTGAGGGACTCCTGTACTCCGTCCATCACATGTCCTTCACTCCTGAGGCAAAGAGGGAAACTCCAGTCATCTGAAAATCAAATCTTTGGCAAAATAGGTACTAACCTGGATTAGTGAGGTACTTGAACTTCCCTTTCTTCTTGCACAGGTCTGACTTCATCTGATCTCACTAACCACCTCCAATCACTTCTCTTCTCTTCTCCTGCCCTTTTACTATACCCCTGTATTTGTCATTCTACAAATGCTCTGCTTTGAAATTCTCTTCAGAGGAAAAGGCTTATGTATACATGTAACCAACAGGCGATATCTCCATGAGCGAAAGCCTTGCACTTAATTCTGAGCCACATGTACTGAGGGACAACTGCTGCTTGGGAAGGATAAGCAAGGGGCTTCAAATATTTAAAGAGCTGTTGCTCATAAGCCTGGAGAGCAAAAGTAGATCCAACGGGCAGAAGTTGCAGGCAGATTATAACTCGACCAGTTAAATCTCTTCCATTATAGAAATGTTTGCCTTATTCAGTACGATACACTTTGTCACTGGCCAAGCTTAACAAATTTGAAAAAATTCCTTAGGCGTGTGATGGAGAGTATGCTGGCACTGGAGAGGAAAGGGATAAGTCTAATTCTAAGAAGCCTATGATTCTGCAATAAATAATATGATATGTATAGTTTTTCCATAATTGAGATACACAGCCATTCACATGCATGGGATGAGGTAAGTTGACTGAAGGTGAACTTTAAAAAGAAACAAGATAGGAGAGGTACCCATCTCTGATCCAACAGCGGGGCACAATTCTATCCTAGATTTGGGGGGGAAACCTGTAAATAGATTTGAAGACAGAAAATATTTTGGAAGAGATAAGAGGATGAAAAGTCAGGATGTTCAAGATAAATCTAATGAACAAAAGAAGCTGTCCTTATGTAATTACTCATGGATAAGACATGTGTGCCTAACTTCATGGCCCCTTATGTGGGTTTTTATTTTTTATTTTTTATTTTTAAAAGCCCACTGTAATAGGAATTTAGTATTCTGGATTTTCTTGTCCTGGGTAAGAAGGATAATGAAAGAAAATTATCTCCTCTGCCCCCACCTAGGTCTGCATGGGCAGCTAAAGAGCTATAAAGAACTTCCATTCCAGAACATGCATGTGGATGACACCCTCCTGAACCAAAATGCCACATAGCTTATGAAGATTTCTAAACAGATTAAAGCGAGGCTTCTGAGCATGTTAACTCAAGACTTTCTGGAATTTAGCTTAGGTCTCCTGGAGAAAAGTTGGTCAAGTAAAAAGAAATCGTATAGACAAGAAAATTGTAAGACTCACTGGTCCCTCTGCTGTAATATTGTACCAGCGCTATCTGCAAAACTGTCATTACTGTACCAGTGATGCTATCTTGGACGCCTGTGAATCTCTGTCATTTCAGAAGCTAATCATAACATAATGTTCACACATGGGAATCAGGCTCTTCTTGCTCTCCTGGCTCTTGTGCCCCAACTGACCGCAGCGCTTTCTTAGCACAAGGAGGGCTGTTCTTATACTGTTGTTGCTTTTGGATTTCCTTCTTTAGAATCCTCTAAGTAAAATAAAGGCAGGGGGAAAGGAGCCATGCCATTTACTACAGCAAGTAAAAGCCAGGATCTGGTTAGTGCGTGTTTTCCGTTTCTTGAGAAAATAGTGATCAAAAACAACTCTGCACATAGCCATTTCTTCCCACCAAGCCACTTCATGGGGCCCCATCACCCCAGATCACACGCACGCCCAAGGTTAACGAAAAGGGGACCTGCCTGAGAAAGCCAGTCACACAGACACTCGCTTTACATCCCCGGTGGCTGGCGGGGAGTGAAAAGTACCAAGTCAGCCTGTGGAAATTTGCAGTCTCAAAGTATCTGCGTATAAAAAACACTTATGAATTAGGAAGGAGGAAATAGTCATTTTAAAGGAGAGAAAACCAAGTGACCAAAATGAAGATCGTAAGTGAAAAACAAATCGGTATCAGGTTCCTCATCTGATTCACTGAAAAGGACACAGCACTTCCTTGGCATTCTTGCTAAACCTGAACCTAATTGTCAGATTAGACAGGCTACAAAATAACCAGCCTGGAATCTTCAAAGAAGTTCTAGCTCATGAAAGATTAAAAAAAACAAAAACAAAAACAAAAACAGAAAGAAGAATGACAGAGTATACAAAGGGGACTCAAGCAAAATGAGCACTAAACGTGATCTTGGCTGAGAAAAGAGACAATTGGTAAAATTTGCATAAAATCTGTTGATTAGATAATAATATTGATGTTAATATCCAGATTTTTATCAGAGTGTTAACTGTGGTACTTCTAGTTATATAAAGAATGTTCTTGGATTTAGTAAATATTCACTGAAATATTTAGAGTTAAAGGGGTATCACGTCTATAATTTGCTTCCAAATTTTCAGAAAAAACGCATGTACATACATAGCTATGCATATACGTGTGTGTGCATGTATGTGTATAAACAGAAGAGAGAACACAATGAAGTAAATATGGTAGAATGTAAATGTCGATATTTGGGGAGTCTGGGAAGACAGGAATGCTTTGTAACATTTTTGTAACTTCTGGTAAGTAAAAAGCTTTTCAGAATTAAAAAGGAAAAATTACCTAAGTGGGTTTGAGGAGAGCACCGTAACGGAGAAAGAACTTGGAGGACCCCATGCCCCCCGTCCCCCACCCCCAACACTGAGAAGTACTGTAATGTCCTGGGTCTCCCTGAAAGCTACTGTGGAGACCCTGCAGTGAGCTCCCTGAGGGCGGCACCTCTTTGTCTCCGAATGGCCAGAGCCTAACACAGGACTTGACTAATACTAGGGGCTCAAGATATGGCCAATGAATGAATGAATGGACTTTAACGCAACAGCTGAAAGAAACTGTTGGCACACCCTAATCTGTGGTACTCTGTCTGCAAAGTTGGTAGTATTGCGGGCTTCTTGTGTAAATGGCTGGGTGTGAATAAGGGGCAGAAGGCATCAGAATGAAGGGTCAGATATGGTTCTTCCTGGGGTGGTGTTTTTTTTTGTTTGTTTGTTTGTTTGTTTTTTGAGGAGGAACAGGAACTGGGCATATCCCCTAGGGCTGGCCCGAGATGACCCTGCTCCTCTGGACTGGATGAGGAAGGGCATACATTTCAAGTACTGTGTGTCCCAGCATCCAAGGTCTCTACTGGATCCTGTGTAAGCTATTTAATGCACTGAGATAAGAAATCTAGACCAAGATCCCCCAGATAACAGTAAGGATTGGATAGCTCCATACTCAATCCTTCATCATGAGCACAGTATCTCGTTACATTCTGTTCTTACTTCCCAAACGAACTAGTGCTTGGTTTTTTTCAAATTCATATTGACTATGCACAGGAGGTATGAAGTTGGAATCATTTTAATTACTAAAATTCTAGAAAGCTTCAAAAAAGTTACTTAAGATAAAAAAAACGTGACATAAGTTTCAAAAGCTTAGCTAATTCAAGGACATCATAACGGACTGCTTTTCCAAAAACATTTAATTGTGAATAGAAATGAAGGGGGAAAAAATTACAGTCCACAGACCACCACAGTGTAAGTATTAGGGGAAGTTCCTGTAACCCCCAGAAAACTGGGATCTATGAAAAGTGGGCTTTTTCTAACCACCACCAAGATACAATTTCATAATCATGAATATTGTGTGATAATATTCCAGAAAAAAATTAAAGAAGGTGAACCAAGGTACATAACAGAGGGCAGGATTCCAAAATGCAAAACTGATTTGCATGTTAATTCAAATAGGGACCTTGTTGCTTTAAAAAAGGAATACAATTTTCAAGAATCTCAAGGTGGGACTTCTCTGCTCTCTGATAGGGATTTGTTCACCAATTTACTTGAAAATAGCACATTTGGCAGACCCAAATCATAATGGGGAAAAATATCCCTTCCCAATCAGTGAATAATAAAGCTAGCCCTCAGAGAACGGAGGCAGGTTGGTACAGCCCCTCTTCCTATTTACTGGCCCCATCTGGGAGGCCAAATAGTTCTCTGTCAAGAGTCTGGCCCTACCTCTAACTTAATAGGACAGATATTTAACTCACCCTCAGAGTTTCAGTTTCCAGTTACTAGTTGATTACTCCCTAACACCCTTCAGCCGCCTATCACCCAGTTTAAAGCTGTTCTGTTTCTCTAAAATGGAGTAGGAGGACCTGGATGTATCCTACCTCCACCTAGATTCTCCAACAGATATGTTGTCTGTAAAACCCAAATGGACTTGGAGTAAAGAAAACATATAAGAAAGATACCTGATGAGCCCGCAAGAGCAGGAGCTGGCTCCTATTCCTGCTGTGTTCAGTATCCCTGTTGTCCCAGACATGGTCTAGTCCTTGGGCTGCCAAGGGCATCACCCTAATCAATACCAGCTGAAATTGTGGGGATCCATGGTGACCTAATGGCTGGCCTAAGGGTTTTGGAGGAGCTGCCTCTATGAAGTTCAGATAGAACCTCAGATCTGTATGTAAATTGGAAAGATAGTGTGTGGTATTCTTAATACTTCAATACTTCTCCATCAATCTCTCTCTCTCCTACACACATTCCTTCTCATTTCTCTAGGAGAACCCATACTTACGATATACTTGGGCTGCTCTGTAACTGGAGTAATAAAAGCATTTCAAAAAAAAATCAAGCCATTGCCTATTTTTGTCTGAAGAGAAAGCAAAGCCACTAGCAAAGTATAGTGTGACAGCTCTTGAAACTTGAGACTTCATACTGGTCATCAGTACCCAGTGTGATATTACCAATGAAAAATGCAGAGGCTTGGCCTGTTGGTCCCCACCCAACTGGTTCTTCTTACCTTTGGTTCCATTGAAATGAAACTGTGGGTTCCTCTGCTCGAGAGAACTGACCTTTTAATCGTCCTGCTGTGGTAGAAGTGGTAATAGTCCTTCAGGGCCCCGATCTGCACAGATGGAATGGAAAGAACAAAAGAAAGAGAGTTAATGTATGAAAAGTCTTGTTTTCATGTTTTTCATTAAAATAACAACACAAAACAGAAAGGGTCCATAAATTATGCAGCTGCCTGCCCTGTTTAAATGTTACTTGAACCTTGGTGATCACTTTCCAAAGGGAGGACATGTGATATGAAATGGAGTGTCCTTGAGGCGATGACTATGGAACTAAAGATTATAATGGGGCAGCTAAGCCTCTCCATAGCTCCCTCTTAATGTTTCATTTATATGCAGCATTTTAAGTAATTCTATATCAACCTATATCCAAATGTGGGAAAGAGAAAAAGTCAAATAGCTATCTGGTTATAAAAACACACTGCATTCTGTTTGCTTTGAGAAAGGTACAGTGAAGGACCTTGTTAGATTATTTATATCATTAATTTGAAACAAGTCTCAAGCAGTTGATCATTCACAAAGAAAACACTACTTTGTTTGCTTCCTGACTTCAGTAGACAGTATAAATACATAGCATTTTTTTCATTTACTGCAAAACTAAGAGCTGAATGGCAATTTCAAAAACAAAACAAAGATCATACATTCTACTAATCAACTAGGCTTCCTGTGTAAAAATGGTTCAATCCACTTTATCACAACCATTTCTTTAACAAATTAGTCTTATTTGTGTACCCCCTTCTCTCTTTTTTAAAAAAGATTTTATTTATTTATTTTTAGAGAGAGGGGAAGGGAGGGAGAAAGAGAGGGAGAGAAACATCGACATGGAAGAGAAACATCCATCAGTTGCTTCTTGTATGTGCCCCAACTGGGGACTGAACCCACAACCAAGGCGTGTGCCCTGGCCCAAAATTAAACCAGTGACCTCTCAGTCTGCAAGAACACCCAGCCAACTGAGCCACAGTGGTCAGGGATATTCCCTTCTTCAGTTACAAACAGTGAGTTCTGTTTAGGGCAGCTTTGAAAGTAAGTCCCTGTCCACTTTAGGAAAACAAATGAATAAAATCCCAAATAATCATATTCTCTTTTCAGATTATGAAATGGGATCACATGATGGATACTGAACAATACAATGAATGAAGACAGGAGAGCTTGATTTTAGGTCCAGCTGACATTCCCCAGAGGTGGTTTCTTGACTGAATCACATACATGTCAGATGCCTCAGTTTCCACTTCTATAAAATTAGACTTTGGACTAGATAATTTCTAAGAATCACAGCAGCTCTCAAATTCCCTTCTTTGATACTGACACGTTCCTTGCTTTGGGCAAATACAATACATCAAGTGGCTCTTTCTTCAGAACACAATGACTTTGCCCTAAAAGAATGTGACCATCATCAGGATATTTTCCAACTGGGACAATTCAAAAGTTGGGCCTTTCCTAATTAGGGAAAAAAAAAAAGTCATTGGCCCAGTTTAACTTTTCCAGATAAAACGTTTATTTCTTATCCCCCTATTTCTATCGCATTCCCGATCATCGCCCACCCCTCCTAATAAGGATGATCAACCTAATTTTTGTGCCATTTCAGAGTCATTTCCCCTCTGGGACTCCATGTACTAATTGAATGTCCCTAATCCTCGTTAAATTTGAAGGTCTGAAGTCTCCCACTCGCATTTTTTATTCAAGTGGAAACTGCCCAGATGTACAGAGAAAGGATCCCGGACTCTGAACATAAATGTGGAACAAAGACAAGGAAATCCCAGCTGAAACCTCTACCCTTGGTATCCTGGGCTCTGAAGCAGCAGCCAACAATGAGGCAGAGGGCGCCAGGGCTGATGGGTTTCCAGGAGGGACTGACAGGCCAATGTTAAGACTGCAGCAGACAGAGAGCGTATAATTCTATATAAGAAAATCTTAAAATCCCAAGAAGCTCAGTGTTTTGTTAAGAGTGCTCCTTGGGAAAAACAGTAGTTCCTGCGGAAAGGAACTTAGAATCACTGAGGAAGAACTTTACGTAAATGCTATCACTCGTGTGAAAATAGCCAGTGTGTTCAAGATCATGTCCATTCAAATATCATGGAACATCTTTGATTATAGGAAATGAGTGAATTCAACTATTAAGCTCAAAGTATGGTACAAACTGGAATCATGGTCCAATGTAGTACACGGGAAAGTAGAAACTTGACTGGACTTAGCTTGCTCTGGGGTCCTGGGTACATCACTTACACTCTTTGGGCCATGGTTTCCTCAAATGTAAAAAAACAAAAAAACAAAAAACACTCAGGAGGTACAGTGGACAGAGACTGGGTGTCAGAGTCAAATGGGGGATAACAATGTTTATAGGTTAGTGTAGTTATAAGGACTGACTGTTATAAGGATTGCCTGGTATCTAGTAAATGTTTCCCTTTTAAATGTCACCTTCTATCCTCTGATTTATCCCTCAGCCCTATTCCTTGGTTAGGATTCCTCTTGGCCTACCCTGGTATCACCACTTTACTTCCCTTATCTCATTCGCAAAAGTCGAAAGAGTTGATGATATGCTATTGACAGGGATATAGGCACAAACGCAGCTCACACATGATCGGTAAAGAGCATAACCTGGGACAAGGGTTGCGAGACCAAGCTGATAACATCATAAAATTATAAACAGTAACTAGCTTTTGACATACCCTTCTACATCTAAAAAGTTAATCTACAAATATAGTCACGTATGTACTGGGTTGACCAAAAAGTTCGTTTGCATTTTTCCATAAGATGACTCTCTAGTAGCACTTAGTTGTCTTGAACTTCGCTCAAAACAATTTCGTTAGACTGTACTGTGACAGCTGTCAGAGGAGCAGGCATTAAGAAAAAACATCAAAATTGGTGAATTTTTGTGTAGCCATTTTAATATTGAAGATAGAAGAAAATAACATTTTTGGCATATTATGCTTTATTACATCAAGAAAGGTAAAAACGCAACTGAAACACAAAGAAAGATTTGTGCAGTGTACGGAGAAGGTGCTGTGACTGATCGAACATGCCAAAAGTGGGTTGCGAAGTTTCATGCTGGAGATTTCTCACTGGACAAGTTTCCATGGTCAGGCAGACTAGCTGAAGTTGATAGCAATCAAACTGAGACATTAACTGAGAACAATCAATGTTATACCACACGGGAGATAGCTGACATACTCAAAATATCCAACTCAATAAAGTTATTGGTGAAAATGAAAAACGTGTCTTTTATTTTACAGAAAAAACCATATGGACTTTTTGGCCAACCCACGACAAGAATGGATATTAGAGCAAATTTTGTAAAAGGAAAAAAAAAAGCAAACAACTGGCTGCCATTGATAGGTGATTAGCTACGCATGAACTAAAAATGAGTTAATCTCCAATATAGTAATAAATAAATAAATGTGCAAAATGGGTATGTAATCTGACCTAATTTTTGTAGGAGAAAGAAAGAAGCATCTATAGTACATTCATACTTCTATGCACAGGATACTTCCGGAAGGACACTTAAGAAACTGAAAAGAGGAACTCTTTTGTCCCCTTTTTTGTCCTTCATTATTTATGTACATCTGCTATTTTTAAAATTAAACTAATTAAAATGAAAGAAATAACACCAACAAATAAACGACATAGCACAAACACCAACCTCGCCTACTTTCCCAGGCGCAGACATGCTTCCAAAGTTCAGTGTGACTGGCACCAGTGCCACACCTATTGAGGCCACCAACTCCAGCTCAATAGCAGTGAGCTCCACTGTATCTCCACTTTCGGGGAGTCCATTTCCTTTACGGAGTTAAGGAACGGTGTCCATTGATTGATTGATGCCTCATTTACTGAATGCCTACCATGTGCTAGGCACCTTACTGGTCTTTTACAGGTTATATTCAACTTCATTTCCCCAAGAACACTAGAAGACACATATCATCACCTCCAATTTGATATACAGGGCTATTAGGGCTCTGAAAGTGCCCAAATGTATAAGGCTAGTATTGGGAGGTGGTAAAATGTAAATCTTTTTTGAATATCTAGCATCAGGGTGAATTTTGTTAAGTTTCATGGTGCATTCTATTGAAGGGCTCAAAAGAGACATTCCAAAATCTTTCTGGTGAGTCTTCCCATGCTGCAGAGCTAAAAAGCTAAAATGAAGGCAAGGTTCTGGATATGATTAAGGTTCCACCAATCAAAGGCAGACTACAGCATCATGGGGCATGTTCTTGGACGCGTGTGTAATGTAGTTGTGGCACAGGTCTGTGTGTGTGGTTGCTAGCTTTCTGGGCATCCACTTACACATCCTGTTCTGTGGATAAGTGGGTAAGAGATTGTAGAGAAGCTATAGAGGCATAAAAGGGTAGCTTCCTCATTCCTCAGCTTCCTGCTTGAGGCAGAAGCAGCTGCCATGGTGGAGGCCCATTCTGGGGTATCACTTTGGAGGCCATTTCTGAAAGCTTGACCCTCTTGATTGATTCTACATGCTATTTAATAGCCTATACTGAACACTTTCCAAAGTAGACCAAGTAGTAGGTTCAGTATTAGGCTCCCTTGAATATCCAAAACTGAATAGGTCAGAACTTCTGAAAAATTAGCTATGCATTTACACAATCTCATACAACTTAAGGAAAGTTATGTATCTCTTGAGTCTGGGCTGTATGCACCAATGAGTCCCCATAGGCTACTGGAAGTGTCTGTTCTGGCATCCTGTTAGATGACTATGTACTTGCTTCATCACCTCAGAGCTGTTTGCACCACTCTGCTCTCACATCTGTCTTCTACACGGTAGCCATAATAGGGTTACAAAATTTGGCTATGTCACATGTCATATCCTCTGCCTAAAATCCTTTCGTGGCTTTCCTTTGCTCTTAAATAGTAATAGTTAACATTTAATATTATTTATTAATATACTTGTAAAAGTAAATCAGAATAATATCATACCAACATTCGTGCTGCACCAGGAACTATTCTATATGCTTTATTGAACACATTGAATAAAGACCACTGTCCTACTCTGACCTTCGGGTCCTACATGACCTGGCCCAGCCTCCCTTCCCAGCCTCTCCTTGCATCGGCC